TCTATATATATATATGTGTATATCTATATGACGTTTATATACGAGAGAATATTTATTTTGGGGAGGATTTGTTAGGGTGAGATAATTAGTACTCCCCATGTCCCGTGTAATCCAGCCCCAGCAATCCTCCTATCATCCATGTCCCAGTTTCCCTACTAAGCGCAGGCAGAACCTGCGTGGAGATTTTTGGATTTTTGGTGTATATTCCAATACTTATGCAGAGATCATAATGTTCATTCTTGAGGCTTCTACAATAAGCGGGTATTTACGCTTCGTACATGTATATATATATATGTATATATATAAATATACGTACATATCTCTCTCTCTCTGTCTCTAAACCCTTTCTACATAATCCTACATAGCCCCTCAACTGGGTTGCTGTGATGGAACTTCAATGAATTAATTTGGCGATAAGCAGGCTCCATTGTTTATTGTATACCCATACTATGATAACTTACTTAATTTAAGTTCTTTGCAGCAACCCTGTACCCTAAACCCTATGTATGCCGCTATTATGGAAGTACTCACGTGCTCCCAAGCTGCCCTCAAACACACCGCCAGATCCCCGCCTCTATGAGCTATATAGCCTAAACTCCTAGTATCCAGTATAGGGGTTTAGGGTATAGGGCTTAGGATTTAGAATCTAACTCATAGTATCCCCCTTAATGGGCCATATAATGCTTTTCTATAGGATCCACTATAGAGCCCCCTGTCATGGAGTTTAGGCTACAGCTCATATAGCCCCTCAAAAGGGGACCAACTCAGAGCCATACCCTTCTGGGCTCCATCCTAAATCACACCCTAAATCCTAAACCTTAAACGCTAAATCCTAAACTCTAAATCCTAAATCCTAAGCCCTAAAGCCTCAACCCTAAACCCTAGCCCCTAAACCTTGAAACTTAAACCCATGAATCTGGGCTCCATACCGGCGTGCATCCCAATCGGTTCTCAAGGAGGTTCACCTTGCCGAAAGCGTGCAGGGCACCATAGGGTTTAGGGTTTAAGGCTTAGGGTATAGGGCCTCAGGGATTCAGAGGATTCAGAGGATTCAGGGATTAGGGTTCAGGGTTTAGGGTTTAATGTTTGGGGCTTAAGTTTAGGGGTTAGGGTTAAGGGTTTGAGTTTTGTACCCCCAACGTTGTTCTGCCCCTGGGTTTTTGGGATTTTATTGTAGGAGCCCAGAAAGACTACATTGGCTCCTCCAAGAGTTCTATTAGGGCCATACTGGGCAAACCTTCTATAACCCTAAACAGTAACTTCCATTTTCTTTTCCATCCCATATAACAAGTCCTATATAACCCTAAACAGTAGCTTCTAAACAGTAGTTTCCATTTTTTCTCCGTTCTCCCTATAAAACCCCTATAACCCCTTCTAGGGGCTCAACCTAGGGGATCACAACCCTGGAAGCCTTCAGACTTACGCTTAATGCGCAACGTCCTGCAGGACCCAATTCCAGTCTCTACCTTGGGAAGTATGGTATGCTAGAATAGCAGGGGAATGCTGTCTCAACAAGACGTAGTACCTTACGGCTTACGAGTCATGTGTCGGGTGAAGCACTGCTCCTTAATCTGTGTACCCCATCTCCTACAGACAGAAAACCTGTCAATGATCGATCTCTACCTGAGCTGCTGTATGCTGTCAGGCTCAAGGACGAAAACTTCTACTATCACTTTTGAAACTGCTGTTCATGGTATGGGGTGTAGGGCTTATTGTAATTGAAACTACTGTTTAGGGTATAGGGTTTAGGGTTTATTGGAAGTACTGCGAGTTACTATTACCAAATACGACCACTGATTACCATTACAGCTACTACTTGCTATGTACTACTTCCTAAATACGATCATAAGGTACTATTGCTACATACTGCTACTAATTGCTAGTACTCATTACTTTTTACCAGTACTCTTTTAAGTTATGAGGTTGGGACGTAGGGGTATTTCACCAGGCTGCAGAGAGTATTTTTTGTCTACTCACTCCTCCTTACCAGCATCTTCAGCAACAAAGCCTTCCTTGATCAGCAGCTGCTCTGAGAGTTCCCAAAGTCTGCAGGCCGCTTCGTCGTCACTCGCATACTTGGAAGGCTTGGTTGCAGCACAATCTCGGAAATATTCACCTGTGACCGCTTCTACCAGAGGAGCCGTCAGGCAGTAGACACTGGTAGCGGCCCCCTCAGCCTCGCTGCGGTCCTGGAAGAGCCCAAGTAGCATGCGCCCTTTCAGCATCTGCCTTACTGGTTGAAGGGGTTGAGGGTTTAAGGGTTTGGGGCTTAGGGGTTTAGCAAAGGGGGTTACATAGTGAGTATATGGGGGATTTGGGGTTGGTGGTTAGTAAGGAATAGGGACTTTAGTCCCTATCTCATATTTCCCCTTATTCCCTACTAACCTCAGTAAGTTGCTGTCTTCCAAGAGGTGTCGAGATGACACCTGGATGCACCGCATTGGAGCTCACAAGATTACCTCCTGGAAGGACAGCCAATCGCTTGGAGAGCTCACCTGACGGAGCTTTGCAGCGCAGTGGCAGGCCACAGTTTTACATCAAAATACCATTGAAAGAAATGTGTTGGGGAGAAAAACATGTCAAACAGTTGTCCCAGCAACGAGCAAACAGGATGTTGGCAAGCTTGGACTGCTGATAGGCTCGCCAGTCTCCATACTGAGCGGCGCTAGGAGGCCAGTCATCAAGATCGTAAGCTTCGTTGGGGGCTCTGTGAGCTTCGGAGGCAAGTGTCACCACCCTTGCAGGAGCAGACTCCACCATCCTCTTCATGAGTGCACTGGTGAGTGCAAAATGCCCCAAATGATTTGTTGCAAACTGCATCTCAAACCCGTCTTTCGATGTTGTATACTTTGGAAGGGCCATGATGCCAGCATTCAGGCAGAGTAGATGCAATGGCCTACCTTCCTTCAGAAAATTTTGCGTGAAGGTGCGGATGGACCTCAGCGAAGATAGGTCAAGCTCAACCACTTCTATGTTGGATGCTGGTTTACCAGCTTTTTGCAGTGCTTCCTCCATGCTCTTTTTGGCTGCATTGCCGCGGCTTGAGTCCCGACAGGCCAAAAGCACTTGGGCACCACCATAAGCAAGGGCCAGAGCAGTATAATAGCCAATGCCTTAGAAAGAAGGGGTTCAGGGTTTAGGGTAAGGGTTCCGATATGGGCATGCTGCACTTCGGTGACTTTGAGCAAGAGCTTAATCTTACAGCGGCGCGGTGCTTTCTGCCTTTTTGCCTATCACGGTCCTAGATTCCTCGTATGACTATGCTATAGGGGTTAAAAAAACTCCCCTGAAGGACCTTGGGGAAACAAGCGAAGCGTCAATCTGAGCAAGACCCAAAGGTTTATTATATAGGGTTTAGTTAGGTTTGCTTTGCTTTTCAACACTGGCTTCGGCAGCTGAACCACCCAGCCCCCCTAAAGGATCCAAAACATGGAACCCCCTAATAATCCCCTATTTTCCCCACTGTAGTAATGGGTTCATATTGGAAGGGCTCCATTTTCAGGATCCTTTAGGGGGTCCGGGCAGCCACCGCACCCATAAACTGCTGGACGTTTCACAACCTGTTCTCTACCTCTGGTAGCTGGTTCTAAGGCCTGCAGGCTCCCCAACCTAGGAGGTATCATAATATAACAATACAAGAGTATGATAGTATAATTATAGTAAAATAATGGTATACTAGTAGAATAGTATAGTAATATAATATACTATAATAGTATAGTAGTATAACAGTATAAGGACCTGAGCGCAAAAATCTGGAAGCCCTTTCAAGATAGCTCACCTCTACTGGCTCGCACTGCTCGGCAAACACACTCAAACTGCACTTGGCGGTCCTGCCATGAAACAAACCGTAGAACACCCTTATAACCCCAATGTCCATTTCATTGTCTCTTTCTTTCTTTGTTTTATTCTCCATTACTGAGATATAACAGCCTAAACCGTACATAGTCCCTATGATCCTTTCTTCTCAGCATACAGAGCGCCGAGATTCCTGAGTTGGCCCCGGTGACCAAGGCAGTCTGCTTTGGCAATTTCGTGATATCCAGCACCTCCCAGCTGCTTAGAAGGGTTTAGGGTTTCGGGTTTAGGGACTAGGGTTTCGGCATGAGGGTTTAGGGTTTAGGGATTAGGGTTTCGGTTTTTTCTGTTCGAGGATTAGGGTTTAGGGTTTGGGGTTTAGGAACCTCAACTTGGAGCCTAAGGTTTTAGGGGACTTTGTAGGGGAGGGGGCTGTTTATGGGGACCTTTGTATATGTAAGTTTGTTCACGGGCATCTTATACAAAAAATAGTCACTACATATGCGTTATTTATAGGGTATAGATTGGGTACTGCCCCCCTCAGTAACAGTTGGAGAACAATTATAATATGGTTATATATAGCCCTTAATAGGACCCCTAATATAGACTGTTATTGGGGGGGGCAGTACCCAAGGTATAGACTGATCCCCTGAACCTCCCAGGCTGTGCTCCGCTTGTTCGGACCAGCTGAGGATCGCAAAGCCGAGCCGATGACCTCCGCCGATGGTATCTGCTTCTCGGAGACATCTTTCCTTAGCCCACATTAGCCCATATTATGCCAGGAAGAAAAATGGATCCTTTCTACATAAATAGAAGGAATCCCACACCCCCAAAAGTATAAAGGATCCCTAACATTGAGCCAGTTTCCTTCCCCCAAAGATGCCCAAAAAGGCTCCCTGGCTTGGAAGCGGAGAGGAGGCTGATATAGCTGCAAAAGCAGCAGCTGCAGCTGCTGCAGCAACTCTCCGAGAGCGGCTGCGCAGAAAAGGCGTCCATAAAGCAACTTTGGCCATGGCTACAGCTTTGATCTGGTGCTAGCCGTGTGTAGATCCAGGTATACGAATGGTTACTTTTGGCCCTAAACCCCTCAAGGCTCTAAACATTATCTATGTTGGCCGCTTTGGATCCCGAGGGAAAAATTGAAGAGCCTACAAGAGAGCAAAGACGGCGTTCGACAGAACGAGCACATGCATCGCTTCGCGCGAGTATAGGGGATCAAGGGCTTTAGCTTGCATGGCATACCGCTGCTGAAACATGCAATGCACAACTAGTAACCCTAAAACCTAAACCCCTAAACCCTAAACCCTATTAGTAGCCCTCAGGGCTGGGTCCAAAACAGGTACACCCTGGCAGACCGACCAGCTTCATGCTCTTCCGGACGTTCAAATACTGAACAGCTCCTGCGCTGTTTCAACAAGTCATCACCCGTGCAGTATCAAATCTCCATGTGCCCTCTACCCCAACCCCAAACCCTACAAGCCCGAAACTGAAACCCTAAATCCTAGAGCCTTCCGAGCGGCTCCTATGTGGTTGCTTTTTGGGCGTGTTGGTGTCGTTTAGTAAGGGATGACAACATACCGCCAAAAATGAACTAGAGGAAGTTCTGGGTAGACCCCAACTTCGGAAGCACACCCTGGGCTTGCAGGAATATGACTTTATATAACCCTATAGAACCTGATATAACCCTATATAACAGTATATCAGGAATCCTCAGAAACTCAGCTGGAGACCAAGGGCTTTGCATGCTCGCCGCTTAAGATGCTCGTGGGTTGCCTGAAGCTGAAGGTTGCACCGGGGGGGGCGGGGGGATGGACCCTCTGGGATAAGCATGTATAGTGTAGCGTTCCTACGCATACTTGGGGTCAGGGGTGGGGTTTGCAAGTACATTTATAAACGCTAAAACCCACATAGTGACCCTAGTTATCCCCCTTATTAGCCTACTTACAAAGTCCCCCTGACCCTAACCCCAAACCCTAAATGAGATAGTAGTTTCCACTCTCTTTTCCATTATTACTAAGTCCCCCTGACCCTAAACCCCAAACCCTAAATCCTAAATCCTAGCCTACTTACTAAGTCCCCCTGACCCTAAACCCTAAACCCTAAACCCTAAATCCTGAATCCTAACCTGCTCACTAAGTCCCCCTGACCCTAAACCCCGAACCCTAAATCCTGAATCCTAGCCTACTTACTAAGTCCCCCTGACCCTCCAAGTACCTAGACCCTCCTCCTACCCTCTATCAGGGCCTAAGTACCTACTATTAGGGACCACATATCCCCAATTAAGGGTACAAGGGGGGTCCTCGTATAAACTTCTAAACCCTAAACCCTAAACCCTAGACAAATCCGTGCCTTCCCGAGTCTTGCTCTCGCTCCGCTGCCACTGCACTGAAAAGCGTGCTGTCATTCAGCAGCCTGCGAACTTTTGTAACAATAGCAATAATAGTGGTAATAGTATTGATAGTAATAGTAGCAAAAAAATACTAATAATGATAATAGAAGTACTTAGTTGTCAGCAGCCTGCGAGCTTGCTCAAGTTTTCATAAGCCTCGCTTTGGGGATTCCGGGGGTATCCCTTTATTTAAGATAAACGAAAACGACGTTTGCTTGAGAAGTGCGGTTTAGAGTTTAGGGGTCCCGGCTGCATTGGCAGCGGATTTGGATAAAACTACAAATCCAGGAGGCCTGGCGAATCCTATCGACATGCGCAGCTAGATTTTGAAGGTGATTGGTGGTCCGAGATAAGATGATGCAGTGCTTTTAACGAAGATTGTAAAACTGAACTATGATTGTCACAGTTTGCTAAACCCTAAACCCTGAACCCTAAACCCTAAAGCCCTAAAACGGTTTGCACTGGTTCGACTTCTATGCCTCATACGCTTGCCATAGGCTTAAGATTCATAGCAAAACAGGCTGGTGGTCTCTTCATCCACTCCCAAAAGAACCTTTCAGTATCCCTGCATCCCAGAACTAGGATCCCCACATATCCCCCTTGTGAAACAAAAGCTCCGGAAAAGAAACCCACCCAGCAGTCCCATTCATTGCTGTTCATTCCCTACACCCTAGACCCTGCAAGCTGGCTTGCTCTCCATCATGGTCTAGAGGGTCTCGGTACTTGATTCCCGAACAACTACCAGAAGGAGCCATAACATCCGGACTTTGACCCATGCGGTTCATAGTCTGGTTCGAAGTGCGAAATAAGCAAAGGAATTTCAAGGAATCACACGCCTCACAGAGTCCCAACCCCTTGGCCTGTGCAAATGAATGGTCAGCTGCGGCTTGCCGTCGGTGCCCTATCACACATGTTAAGGCAGATGGGCAATGCTGGAAATTACAAATGCTTTTTGATGGTGTCCATCAAAACAGCTGAAGCCGTTGTTAGGCTTACGTCAGGGAACGTTACTTTCAGAAGTTTGTATATCTTTACCTAGGCCCTCCACCTACCCTCTATATATACCCTAAATACCCACTATTAAGGCGCCATGTACCCCTATTTGAGGGTACAAGGAGGGTCCTGGTACAGGAATCCTGCTCAGTAGCCTGTTTCGAACGCAGTGCCTGCTGCTTGGACATCCTACACTCAATGCAACCCGCGGCCCATCTGCGCTAAGCATTGGAGAATAGAAGCTACAGGAACAATAAAACCGGCCATAAGAATAGCAATAGTACTAATGGCAATGCACTGAACCCGTAAACCTGAACCCTAAATTCTAAACCCCAAACCCTAATCCCTCAACCCTAACCCTGAACCCAACCCTAATTGCTAAACCCTAATCCCTGAACCCTAAACCCAAAATCCCAATCCCTAAACCCTGAACCCTAAACCCAAAGTACAATAGTACTCGACATGCAGCAACGCCTCGCTGGTCTCTTGCGCGGACCTGACTGCTTCAATCGAGGATCGCTGGAATCCCCTCTTCCCGATTGTAACCCTAAACGCTTAGACCCTAAACACATCCCCCTTACACTATAAATTTTTGTAGACTAAAGTCTACTACAGTGGCAAATTTTCATTTTAGCGGGGTGGGGGGTGGGGGGTGAGGGGGAGGGGATTCGCAGCTACAACCTCAAGGTTGTGGCATTGTCGCTTTTTTGACATGTCTGAATGGCCACTACACCCTACAAACCTCAACTCCATGATCCACTCTATAATCCCAGTTCCATTGCATTAACCCATTTATTTTCCCCTTGGTTCTCCATATATATATATATACATATATCCCTTGCGGCGCATGTCACAAATGCCATGCTGCTTGAAGAGCTGCTCCATGTATCTGGGGGTATCCCAAAGTAAGGGGTCCTTTTTGGGGTCCCACGATCAGGATTGAAGGTTTGGGTTTTAGATTTTCGCATTTGTGCTCATATTGCCCTATTTATGAAACTACCATCGCGACTTTCGCCGTTGAAGCCAAACCCCGACACATTCTTGTTGCAAACGAGTCTCTGAACTGGACGCAGGCTTGGCACGAGCGGCCAGTGCAGCATGCTCTTGGCAGGAACCTGACTGATGATGTGTGTGATATTGTGGCTGGCTCTCTCCAAGAAACGTGTCATTCCTCTGCGACGTTTTCCATGCTTAAGGGTCCCTGCTTGCCATACCTGGTAAGCGAATTCCGTGTGCTTTGGCAAAACTACTTCCTTCCTTTTCGGAGGCTACAAATACCCTGTGATGTAACCTATATGAGCTACGGTCAAAACTCGGTACATAAGCTAATGGACGCCAAGTTGGGGGTGTCGCTTTTCAGGTG